CCACCATCACTATGCTTTGGTGAGATTATTTAACGCAGCCGAGACCTCCCACGCTGGAAATGGGTGGTTCAGAGTCCATTGCCATTTCTGCGATTCCAAAGACTGAGATTTTCCCTCTAAGCTGAGGTGCCTTAGCATTTAGATACTGTCTTCTGACTGTGCAGTTGATGGAGAAAGCAAAGAAATTTGATCTATTTCATGTGCTGGTCACGGGTGCGTGAGGTCAGTGGCTGCGTTTTATCAAGTCTCTAAACTCAGTAACTGGCACAATGGCAGCCACAGAGTAGATGCGCCATAAAAATGGTTAACTGGATTGAATTACACACAGCACCAGGCAGGGACCTGAAGGTGCCCACTCCTGTCTTTCTCAGCACTCCATCTGGTTCTGTCCTGCGTCTTTGGCCCAAATTTCCCCCTTCAGGTGCCTGTCAGAGAAGGTCGCGCACTTGAAATATTTGCTTTACAAGTTAATTTGGATTGCAGCAAGACCTGGATCTCAGCACTAAGGGGGATGGAGAGGGATGCCTCCGGCTGGCGTTTTGAAACCAAACAATTAAGTTCATTAACAGTAATGAAACAAGGAGAAGATGAGCAGCAGGGAGACACACAAGTGTAAAATGAGCAATGTCTCCTCTCTCTCTCTCTCTCTCTCTCTCTCTCTCTCTCTTTCCACCCTATCTGTCTCTTTCTCTCTCTGTCTCTGTATCCCTCTCCCTCTCAAAATGAAAGTTGCTGACCCTCTGAGCATTGTGTACCCCTGTGAACTGTGAAACTACTGTGCTCCTGAATAATAGTGACTAACCTCTGGGACAAACAGACCTTTTAAGATGAGCTAATCTGAAGCAGCTTGGTCTAAAAGGGCAGATCTTCTATTTTGAAAATATAAATGGATCAATGCAGTTGCTAAGCTCCCTGACAACCAGTAGCAAATATACTGTGTGTGTGCATATGTGCATGTATGTTTATATATATATATATATATATATACAAGCATATATATATGTTATATATATATATATATATATATATATATATATATATTTGTGTGTGTGTGTGTGTGTGTGTGCTTGTGTGCATTTCTAGTGGGGTGCAATGTTGGCATACCGCAGTTGCCTAAGTTACATTTGTTGGGTTGCATTAAAGAACCAAATCCTGAGATGCTGCCGTAACTTCAGGCTCTGCTGAAGTGTCCTAACTGTCCCCTGTGGTCAGTGTAGGGTGAGATTAAGCAGAAGGGAGAGACCTGACACAGCACCACCCCCACCGCACTCCCGACTCCATTCCCAGCCCCTGTCCTGCATTCTAGACAGATCCATGGAGTCGGCTCCAGACAAGCAAACTCAGAGCTCTCGCCAGGCCCTCAGGGGTGGAAGGGAGGGCTGAAGGGGAAGGTGAGCCAGTCCCACACGGCTGGAACACTTTGTGACGTGCCTCTAATAGGCAAAATAAAATTGTAGTCACCGCTGTAAAAGACTTGTGCTGCAATTTATTAATCAGGGTCTGGGGAGATCAATGACACTGAATGATGATGGAGCATTAGGCTAGCCCCCTGGTCCTCTGGCGGGGCGGCTCTCTGGATGGGGTACAGATGCTCACATCTGCTTTTGTTAGAGACCCGAACTCCTGCATCCTGGTGTGAAGTTAATGAAGGCCCCCGCATTATTCCCCACATTCCTTTAGCAGAGTAGAGTGTGGCTGGCCAACCTGGAAATCCAATGAGTTAATTAAGGCAGAATTGTCTATGATTTCCTTTTCCATTATAACTGCCCCCTCTGCCCTTCCCCACCCCCTCGTGGAGGAGGTCCCCCTCCTCCCTGCAAGCCTAAGCAGTGAAACTGCCTCTTGCCCCATGTGCCAGGATGATTAATGGAGGGACGACAATGGGGTCAATTAGCCAGGTCGGCTGGAAGCTGAAAGGTGGAGTGTGTTTCTTTATTGAACACTGCATTCACACTCCAAACTATGACCTGTGCCGCTGTGATTTATTACAAGGGCAGTCTTCTGATCACTTACCTTCAGCGCTTGGACCTTGGCTTTGAAAACCCGGTTTTCACTGTCAATTAACACCAGACAAGGAGATCCATTCAAAATCTGAAATGCATACCTAACAACAGAGTGGGGGTGGAGGCAGCCCGGGGTGCAGCTGAGTGTGAAGGAAGGTAGCCTGGGACAGTGGCCCAAGCCACAAATGGGACCCTCAAGCTCTGGACTGGCTGGCTAACCATTCAGCGGGGCTTTCCTTTGAATGCTAACATGCTTTGGGTTAGAGAGGATGTTTTCTGCTTTGCCAAAGATTCTTAAATGAGTCACTGTTAGTCCCAAAGGGTATAGGCTGCAGTCAAGCTTGGACATGTCAGAGGGCTTTAGGAAAGAAAGCTTAGTTACCCTGTGTTGAAGCAAGGCTTAAGATCCATGTTGCCGTTTGTTGTTGGCCTTTGCACTGCACGGGCTGGTATGCAGACAGCAAAGAGTGGACTCATTCCAAAGAACTACTTACTGAGTCTTGCAGCTTTCGTTGATGTGTCTTGATCTTCCGCTCTCAGCTGGCCAAGGCCACACCCCTCTCATGAGGGAGCTCACAGCAAAACATCATGTGTCCTCTCACAAGCCAGCCTCTGGCAGAACATCACATGACTCTCACAGGACAGCTTCTGGTGAACCATCACATGACTCAATAGAGTCTTCAAAGAAACCAGTAACTTACACCTCAGGCCAGTCCTACAGATCCAAAAACTACAGGATCTCTATGAAGCATGGCAACAGCAGGATATCTGGGAGCAGTCTCAGTGAGTTCCAGTACTGAGAGAGTAGCAGAAGCCAGAGGCCTCATACCAGACCAATGAGTCACTGCAATGAACATTTGCAAGCAAAGAAGTATGGACAAAAAGGTATACTGGGGGACACACTGTGACACAGTACAGCTTCCACAATGAGATTTCTTCTTCTTCTTCTTCTTCTTCTTCTTCTTCTTCTTCTTCTTCTT